TAATCTTAAAATCCTAAAAATCAACCAATAAAAATACAGATTTTGACTAGGACTGCCGCTCTATTGGCTGACATCTATAAGGGACATTTTAGAATTAAGGCTCCTGTCTAGTCAGCCACGAACTCCGCGTTGACGGTGGCGACATTATCTCGCGTTAGAAATTAGAAGTTTGTCGTACTAGGGCCGTTCTATAATATTTCGGTGTTTTAAGTCGTAAACCGTGATCATTTTATAAAATATGTTGTACGTCGATATCGTAAGCTGTAAAAATTGATCACAGTCGAATGTGAACAGAATACTCGACTTTAAGAGAATAACGGGCCAATATGGCCGCGGTAACTAGGCAGGAGCCTTAAGACCGAAGCATAAACCAGCCATTATAGGTACGCATCGACGATATCGACGATGCGCATCGCACGCGCTTCGATGAAAATAACAGAGACGATTGACCCTAAAGAAGCAATCCTGTCGAATTCGAATGTTAATTTCCTGATTTATTCAGGTTTATTCGAATTTTATATTTCAGTGAAATATACAGATGTGATAAATTAAATGCATTTTATTATAATTGTTATAAAATTTATAATATATGTTTTTAGCGCCTTTCTACGTCTCGATGTTTTTAATAGTTTTGAAATAAGGAAGAAGGGACTGGTTCTCTTTTTTTTCGAGCAAAAAAATAATCTCTCCGATCTGAGAATGCACTTCTCATAGTTGCGCTAGCGCAACACGCCAATGCTCTCGCTCGAGTTCCTCGCCCCCTTTCCATCCGTTTCCTGCGAAACCGTCCGACTTTTATCGGCACAACGGCGACGTCGCGCGTCGCGTTTCCATCGGAGTAACAAGTTTCACGGACCAATGGATCTGCAGTCGAAATTAAATTGCACTCCGGGGAGTTGGCGATTACTCACTTTCTGCGCGATACTCCGCGCGCGGCCATCGCCTGTCGATAATTGAGTATCGGTTTTGTATGTAATAATAGCGAAAGAGAGAGAGAGAGGGCCTACATACAGAGAATGTGTACGTGTGTGCGTTTGCGCTCGCGTGCGCGTGTATATGTGTGTACAGGTGTATAGCAGGTGCCGAATAATTATGCATTACAATGCCGGCAATGCAGTCGTGCGATTTAATATTTTCGGAATGTAAAAGAGAATCCCGCAAAGATAATCGATACACGCGTGGTCAAGAGCGAATACAATACACTCACGGTGCGCCGCAATTGTTTGTAAATTTCCTAAGTGATTGTCTGACTGATATGTCTCGTTAGAGTTACACGCGCGTCAGAAAGGGCATTTTAAGGTTACATTTAGGGGTAGAAGTACCGGTTTTGACCACTGCACCAGTATGGTGCACCACCATAAACACTTTCGAGGATTTTTCGTGTCTGCACGTAGTCAATAGTGATATCGTCGAACCTCGATAACTCGAAAGCCACTCGAATTTTTTCCTTTAAAAGCCATTATAATCGGAAATATATAAACTTTCGTACAAAGCTTCCGTAAGTCGAATTTTCATGTCAATTCTCTTTTACTCAAACTTTGATAAGTCGAAACTTCTGTAACACGAAGATTTTTATAGCTCCTCCCTTGAGATTCGAGTTATCGAGGTTCGACTGTACAAAATTATGGTGGCCATATTGGTACAGTGGCAAAAATCGGTACTTCTATTCTATCCGTTTTTGGTTGTACGACAAAGCATTCGAAGCCTGTTGATTGGCTATGGGATAGAGAGATCCGACTTCTTTTTCTTGCAGCCAATCAACAGGCTTGAAAAATTTGGACAAAACGGACAAATGTAATATTAACCTATATACATATATAATTCTACGCGAATTTATTCGGGTATATTGTATTAGTAATAATTTCTGCTTTATTGATTATTAATCAGACTCTCAATGGAAATATTCGCTGCTGCTGCTGCCGTTATCGTTGTGTGTTCGCGGCTTATTTCGCGGTTTTCGAATAATTTGACATTTTAATATTTGACGTCCGGACAGGGGGAGGATGCGCGTGCATCCAGAGCATGAAACGCTCGTTTCCGTTTTCGCGGTGCAGATACTGTCGTTGCTACTCCACCGAAGCCGCACTAATACGATCTCCTCCCCCTCCCCACCCCTCGAATTTGACGGGGGGAATTACGGACAATTTCCATCTAGAACAATACACTCTCTTGAACGCGACATTATCGGGTATTATCGTGCCACCGCGCGTTTTCTTACAATTCGTAACATAATGTTTATGATGTGACCGGATCGCCGGGGATCTTTTCTTTACGCCGCGAGCAGCCGAGCGTTAAATTGACCGCGGCGGTAAATTGCACGGGGTAAGAAGTCAGCGAGGTTCTGAATCACTTCGTGAGCGTTGGACGATGGAGGAGAGTTAAGAAGGGAATATATATCTGTCGTTTTTATCTGCGTAATAATAACATAATCAAAATCGACGCGCCACAAATGTTATGAAAAAAAAAAAAAAGAAAAAAAGAGGGAAGAGAGGAGAGGCCCGTGGAAGAACGCGAACACATACCGCCGCGTGCTGCATCGAATTACATTACGTTCGTCGATTCGAGGGACTCGAGTAAATCGCATCTCCATTAGACTGCCGAATCTATCCCGTAACGGAATTAGCAATTCCGCTGGCGCATCCGCGATACGGAGCGTGACACGCGCGCGGTGCATTCTTGAAAGATTAAATTCTCGCGGAGCACCGAGTAGATTATTCGGTATGCGTTCATTATTATTACACACATACACAGGTGAGGTGTTTCATAGCGGCTGCGTTGGCGGATGGTGACAGACGGCGCGCGGCGTGTGCGGGCCTATTGTTTACCTAGCGGTTACCTTGATGTGTAGTCGCGGCGGGCACGACGGGCAGGCGAGCCGCGTGACGACGCATTATCCTTCGAGACGCGAAAGCGACAAGGTGCAGTGCGAGCGTAGACATCTTTTCGGACGCGATCGTTTCTCTACTCCCTAGCGAAAAAGCCTGACGATAATCGGATCGCGCGAGCGCCTCGACTCTCCCGCGTTCCGCGACTCCGTAAACGTCGTCGAACGGTCGTTCATCGAGACGAGTGTATCTCACGCGATTGATCTGCTCGAGGAGCGGTAGAAATGTATATAGCCTTTCGTAAAACCTCGGTACGACGCCACGCCGGGATTCGAGTGATTCTCAAATAAGAGACGTAATGTACCGACCGTTTGCTAATAGCACGCGTCCCTGACGAGATTTGCGCGCACGATACTGAATTTAAATTAGCACGAATATAGTCCTTCTGTTTCACGTAATCCTCGACTTTACGCGGATCGCGGATTAAATCTTAAAGAGACAGAGCTTTTTCTTGATTCAAAATTGCAACTCAAAATTCAGTGCTATCAAGGAAGTGTAATATGTATTTAAAATTTTAGAAGTTGTGAATACGAGAGCATTTCAATATCTTCATTATTTCCGATTATCTTCGTCGCAGAATTTGAGTTTGAAATTTCACAAGAATCTCAACGCCTCGTTCGACACAAGGTAAATATTGATCCGGCAATATATCCGCGTGCATTACGCATTTCTAGATTCGTTCGTTTCGACTTTTGTTTTTTTTTTCTTTTTCTTTTACCGATCCGTCCGGCTTTTAGGGCTTTATTTTCCGCGAACGTCGGCGTCGAGTGCGCCGCCGATCGCACGTAAGAACGTAAGCACTTCGCCGCGAGGGCTTTTGTCTCGTCGGCTCTTTGTTTCCCGTCGACGGGTGTCTCCTCGGCGGGTCAATGAATCGGCCCTGCGCGCCGCGACGACGCCCGGGCCCGGTGGAAATGCGTTTCGTTCGATGCCACGGGGAACGTGTGTGGCGCATTGTTCGACAGTTTGCGACTTCGTGCCGACGTCGTGTCGGTCGGCCGCACTATCGCACATTCGCGTGCACACACATGCGTACGCGTGTATGTATGCGTTACATTAAATTGTCTCTGAAAATGTTCAATCTTTTCCGAACCATTTTATACCCCTATTTTATATTCTGTGAGTCTCTAGAACTATAGAGAGGAATAATTTTTTGGTCCCAAAAATACGTTACATTCTTTGCAATTTATTTTTATAATTGGGAGAGTAGTAGAAGTGAAGATATATTATGAAATGAAGATATGGTATGAAAAATTATCAATATTTAATTAATATTACTTATTATATTAATATATTTAATTTTTTGTTATTTTCTAATTCGAAATTCCATTTTTTTTCATTTCAAACGTCATTTATATTTTTATGTATATATGCTGTTTTGTTTCAATATTAATTTTAGTATCATCAAGTTGAGTAAGTAGAATTCTATTTTTAAAATACCAATCGAAATTAAACGGTGGGAAAAAATTGCCACTAGCACAGTTTAACTTTTGATTTGTAAAAGTCGCCGCCTACTCCAGGGCGTGTGTGCGTGCTTCAATAGGGTCATTTGCGTGTGGATGCTCACACTCGCGTGGAATTCGTCCGGCGAGGCTCCGCTCGTGGACATTGACGTAATCGTGTCCCAGTTTGCACCGTTCGCTATTACGCAAACGTGTGGTTGTCGAATCGCGACCGCTTCTTTCTATCTCGTGCCTCGGGAGGTGCGCGAAGAAATAGAAATTCGTCATAGCTTCTCGTAAATCTTGCGTTAGTAACGTCTTTTCAATATTTATATTAATTACAATCATTACAACAACATAATCTCGTCATGTATTATTATCCTCTTTTTAAGTAGCTCAACTTTCGAATGTGTGTCAATGAACAAAAAAAAGAAACAAATAGCTGGAGGATAAAGGTGATTACTTTAGAATCTTTAGATCGGATATCGTCGAGAGCGTTGAAAGTTTATTTAAAACCAACGTAGAGGATGATGATTCGGAAGTATCGAAAAAAAATAAAACGGCAGGATCTCGAGGTTGCATTCTAGGACCAACGCGTTAACAAGGCAGAACGTTAGATCTCACCAGGAAATTCTGTGACCATTCTCTGATTTTTTTCTTTCTGTCGTTTCAGGAGATGACCGTGCCACTCATGCCGTTGACGGCGATCGCGCAGACACCGCGGAAGGAGCACGAGTCCAAGTTCACCTTCAACCCCCATCTGGCGAAGGTAAGAATCGATCGATCCGCCCACTCTCGCTGTAACTAGCTCGTACATCTCGCCGATCAAAATGGCAAACGGGAAGGGGGGAGGGATGGAATCGAGAAAGTAATCACTACTCCGCTTGTGAAAAAGCACTTTGACATTCGCGATTGCTAAAGGGGCCACCTTAATCCTTCCGTTACCTGCGCCACCGAGCTATTTCACAGAGAGAATATTTCCGGCGGCGAAAGAGATTTTTTTCCTATGTCGATTACTACGCGATTTTTATTTCAAGTAATATAATAAAACGGAAGGTAGGAAATGAAAGAAAAAAAAAGTTTCTAAAAGATACAAATAATTAACTTTTTATTTAGTATCGTAGTAAAACGTTCACTTTTCGCACGATGCATAGAAGTTAGAGTTGCTTATCGATCATGACATTAGAATTCAGGCAAAGCAGAGAGAACGGTGATGTGTATATCGCGGTAACGTTTCAATCAAAATGCGAACGTGAACGTGAACTTCATTGTCGAAAGCACGCGTATTTTTGGGGAAAAGCGAGAGGGCAATACGCAAGATTGACTTCGCGCCCGTCTCTCTTTGTCTCTCTCTCTCTCTCTCTCTTTCTGGCGAGCGCGATAACTCACAAGCGTGATATCGATCGCGGCAACATTTCGGATCGTTCGTGCCACTTGGCACGGTGTCAAGCGTCGCTCCGCTTGTCGGGCTTGTGCATGTTGTATTCCGTGTGCGTGTATTCCGCGCGTGCATGTGTTATAATATACGTGTAAAGACAGCGGGTTTTGTCGTGGATGAGACTCGCGAGGTGAGAGAGGTATCACTTAATGTCTTATTTGAGAGAAATTAGCATTTTACGAGTAACGGTGGCTCGAACGCTAATCTCGTGCTAAATCACGCCGATAACGCAGAGAGACTCGCGATAATCTGTACCTATATTCAGCAGAATTCACGCGCGCGCATGCATTTATCAGCTCCGTGAATGATTAGCTCGGCAGAAAAGATTTTTGCGTTACGTTTAATTATTTATCGATATGTTTATTACTCAATTCGCAATTGAGACGTGATTTAAACTTCTAACACACACGCTCGCGCGCCGCTGTTTTCCGCCTGTTGAAATTATTGGCGTTGACATTTTGCGGAGATGTTTAAGAGCTGATCGTCTAATTGGGCGTTTAATTGATCGGAATTCGCACACGGTTGCCGTTGTTGAAACACCGTTTTGACGGGCCGGAACATTTGATACCTCGCGGGCGGGTAATTCTGTAGCAATAATGTCGGCCGGGTGGGAAATGTCTTGGATCGCATTAATTCGAGCTAGAGGTCCCGTGCTACTTGGCAATGTATCAAGCGTTTGCCGCTCTCAAAAGCCTGCAGCGCGGCCATAACGCGCCGACGGCGCGGCAGGGGAGGGGAACGGGGTTGTCGGAGCGGAGCAGGGTCGACCGACGCGTCGCGTCGCGTCGGGTGAAAGAGGGAGAGGAGAGGGGCTCCGGTAAGAGAGCGCCGGTTTAATTCGGGGTACGGTTCTTCTTCAAGCGGCGTCTCTTTTGCGGTGTGTGACACTCATCTGACGTAAAAACCCGGTCGTCTGACCGCGCGCGCGCGCTGTGAAAAACGGTGTTACTTTGTAAATAAAACTGCGGACGAGACTAATTCGTCCGTCCACTCTTTCCAGCCTCGTTCTTGCCGCTTGATAAAAATCTTATCGTGATAACATTGATAAATAAAGTGGATCCTCTTTAACTTCCCTTGTGAAAATGTTTTCTGCATTTTGTGTCCAATCATCTGGAAGATTTATGAAACAAACGGTTGGATTTGTTTTTAGTGAATGAAAACATCGAGATTCTGTCAGCAAAAGTTTATTTATTTATTTTATTATCAAATATCTTGAAAATGCATGCATCAGCATCATAAAATTAGATTATTTGTTAAATTAAATTTTATTTGATGTTATAACACTTGTAATCTTTTCAACACGTTAACAATAAGAATAATAATCGTGATAACAAAATTAAAGGACCAAAAAGTAATTTGCACAAACAAGCGATACTTCTATACAAACTTTAATGTACAAATAAAGTAAATAAAATAAATTTCTAAAAATACCGAATATAACGATAGTTGCGTGTCGAGTTTAATTAAATATTGAACAACATAGTGATAAAAAAAGAAGAGGAGGAAACAGAAGAGAATAAAAAGGGAGAGAGTAAATACATTCACGATTTATTGTCGAGAGGTATTTAATCATTGTGTAAAAATTAGGTAGATTTCAATCGGATTGGCTTTTAATTTACCTATATACGCATTATTTATCAGTCGATCAGATCTCTGAAAGTTTTTACAATACTTTCACCGCCTTTTTCACACCGTTTATCACAACTGCCGCAACGCGCCGATTTACAACGTCTGGTAGGACTTTACGTGATATTTGCAACCCGACACGCTGCAGGAGGCTGCATTGCGTATTATAAATTCTTTTTCTCCTCCTCCCCGCGCTTCCCGACGAGACTGCGGAAGGTTCGGCGAAGAGCCGGGGAAAAAGTGCGCGCGATAAAAGGGGAGGGAAAGGAGAGACCGGGCGAAATCGGCCTCGTAAAAGTGGATTAATTCGGACCGCCATATATATACATATATACATACACCTTCCCCGCCCGGGGATCCTTTTTGCGTGCGCGAGAGTAAATTGTAATAACGGGCCGAATGCAGAATCGCTGCCGGCGTTTCCTCCGCTCAAACGTCGCGAGAATTACTCGCGGACTTACCGGGGGAATGAAATAGCGCGCCGCGCGCGGGCCGCGTCCGCGAAATTGCGTGGCGCCCGGTTGGAATCCGGCCCGGTGGTCGACTTCGCGCGCGCTCTCTCTCGCAGATGAAAGGAATCGTTATACGCACGTTATTATAATACCGGCTTTCTATGAACGGTATAATTACCGTTTGACGGATAACTTGAGCAGGTGCGTGCGCTTTGTAATCACGATGTCTCGCGTTGCGTGTGAGAAATATGCGTGCTCTGTCTCTTTAACAACGTTACGTCGCGTAACAGAAATTATTGTTTGTTTAAGTCGATTAAAATATTTTCTGCAATTTAGATTAGTGGTCGCTAGCCACTAATTAGAGTAACACGGTAATTTGTTGTACAATAACATTGTTAACCTGATTTTTTCTGTTTTTTTTTTTTACGGTATTTATTTGCGGCAGACACTTGGCTGGCGGTCGCAAGTTGATTATTCCGCGTGAAGTTTCGCCGCGCGCGAGACTGAGATGTTATTTCGTTCGCGATTACAAGAATGCACACGTAAAAGGACCGCCAAACCGCGCGATAAATTTCTATTATGCGAGGGAGGGGGGGGGAGGAGGAGGAGGAGGGAGGAAGGGTCTCCTCCGGGTATCAAGGGAGAGACGACGCGGGGACGCGCGTTGTAAATTACTCGATGCGGAAACGAGGAGCCGAGGAGACAAAGTACACTCTCGCCGCGCGGTTCCCTTTACAAATTTTCCCGCAGATCCGTTTAATTTCCCGCTGTTGTTTTCACGAACTTTCCTTCCTCTTTGCTCCCTTTCGCAACGGTTAAATCCTTACCGACGTCATTTGACGAACTATATGTAAACTATGCCCGAGTTATTTGCCCGTGGTGCCATTTCGCAGAAGGCGAATATAATTCTCGATAGAAATATGCGCGCGCACGACGTCTCGTTTGACGCGCCTCGCTGGCTTCTAAGTTAATTACATTCTGCGAAAAGGATCACCGGGCCACGATCGGAGGGCCGGGGCCGGTCCTTTTCCGGCAGAATAGCACACGACCGTGAAAAGAGCTGATTGTCCTGAGTAAACTGAGCCTTGACTTTTTCTTTTGCAGTTGACAGAAGTCGCCCCGCCGGAGCCTGCGAAGCCTCGTGAGTACTTGCAGCTTTTTTTTTATCTCTCTTATACTTTCTACAAACTCCGCGTGTCGTCGAACAAGGCATAGACACGAACGTGTGCGAGAGCGTTACATGCGCGCCCGCATGTCGTCGACGGGTTTTCCTCGATTGCGTTACAGCTTCGTTATTACATCGATAAAGAAAGAGGCAAAAAAAACTTTCTTGCGCGCATTACGCAAAGCAACGCGTGCAAAACGCGAGTTATTTGCATTTCCGCGTAATTGATACGCGGGTTTTTCTCGCGCGTACCAATTTATCTTCGTATACGAAATCACTTGCGCGTGTGCGTGCGGGAATATTTAATGATTATTATATCATGTTGGAAAAAGAAAAATTGGACGCGCGAGCGACGCATGATCCTCACGCACGCCGCCCCTGCATTTTCACGAAGTTGAAGTTTTATTAACGTCAGCGCTGAACGCGTCCGCTGTCAACTTTCCGTGCCGGTGTACCGGCGTTTAGCCGCAATTTTTCGCGATAAAACACACGTTGTTGTCAGAATATTCAGAAATTTAGGATCACCGGCGGACATAATTTTCCGGAAACTGTCCGCTACATTCGCCCGACGATTAAAACGCGACGCTGTCGCGTATAGGTATATCGCCATTCGCGAGAGAGAACGGCATTTTAAAGTCATGCGAGCAGTCGAATGGATATTAATCGACGCGTCTCCGTAATTCGCGCGTGCGGATATCGATATATGGACGGGTCGATGCGACAGTATTTTATATATACGTGTCCGTTTAACAATATGTATTCATAAAAAAAGGGGGGAAAAAAGAGGAGAGAAAAAAAAGAGATCGGGAGGAACATGCGCTGCGGCGGAACGCGCTGCCGAACGTAAAACCTGTGGATTCTGTGCGAAATCCGTCCCCTCCCTCCCTCCTGATCGTCGATTTTGCGGGCTTGCGATTTCATGAATCAGCCATCCGACCTCTGGCATTCGTTCATTTAGCCGTTTAAGCGCGCGAAGTACGCGTTATTTATTCTCGCTCGCTACGCGATCCTCGCGCGGCTCATTATTTATCTCGCGGTTATACGCAGGCCCGTTTCGCTCGGAAACCACGACTCGAGTTCTCTCCGGTTTAATCTTGTTATCAGTTTCTTGTAGCGTTTACATCACCGGATCCTACTACTACATCTTTAACTCGAGTTATTAAACGCTTCGGAATAATTATAAAATTTTACTACGAATAGAATTAGATGAGAAGAAAACTTGGGAGCCACGATTTTTAATATTTTATCGGAACAAAGATTCACGTTTAGCGAACGTGGACGCCCTGAAATACGAGAATTCGTCGTGACGCATTGTAAGAAATCATTTTCCGCGCAAACGATTGTGCGATAAGGAAGTAATAGGAATTTCTTCGCGGAAATATTCTTGCGCTCGTTTTACGCGATAAAGGTGCAACCGCGGCGGCTTGAAAACGTAATATTCGCATTGGAAGCTTTTAAATATTTGACAACTCGCGCGACGTACCGCGGCGCGCGCGCCGGAAGCTTTTCAGAGCGCAATACTTTTATATACCATACAGTTAAATTCAACCTTCTTCTCGACATTTTTTTTCTCACCGGAGTACCCACGAGAGAGAGAAAGAGAGAGGAGGGTGAGAGAGATGTGCGTTACTATTAAAAGTAAATTAATCACTCCGTGTTAATGCCCGTATTAATATTTATACTAATATCATGATTTGCTAACATGATGTTTCGTTAAACGAGCAAGCCTGTTTATGCAGGAATTATAATTACGGGTTTCATGAATGCAGCCGAGAGGGCTGCATTTATTACAATAAATAATAAATAGTAAAACAGGCTTGATCGATCAAATTAATTAGCGCGTCGAAATCGATTTTCGTGCCGAGCAAGCAATTTTCGGGTGGAAGCGGGAGATGGGAATGGAAAGCTTCGGTAAGATCTACGCTTCACTTCTACACTTAACGGGCACGTAAATCGCGGAGGAAGATCTGTGGATTCGTTGATATTCCGGCATTTCTAAACGAACATGGAAGGCGGAAAGGGTTACTGTTTCATGAATTAACCATTTCTCCTCTCTCCTCTCGCCGTTTCCTGCCCGATGCTCGAATACCAGTGGCCACTTTACAACGACTATTATCGGAATTACAACCGGCCCCTCGTCAACGATCGGGAGTCGGATAGGACGAATTTGCCTCTCGTTGGGTAAATTTGAACTAGTTCCCTCGCGCTCTCGCCTTGCGATAAGCCTATTTTGCACCCTTTACACAATTGCGTTGTGCGAAAAGCGCATAAATCGCTGAAGCTGTTCTTGAGAGAAGTGGTGAGTTGATTCTTGAAAAAATTAGGATGATGGATATTCAACGAATATCTTCTTTTATTAAATTTTACCGTATTTTCTTTATAAATGAAAAACACATTTTAATAGTCAATATATAAATAATATTTTTTAGTAGATGTTAGTAATATAATAGAAATTACAAAACAGCAACAAAGCAATGATAAAACATTATTTTCGTATTTTGTAGAATATATGAAGCATAAATATGAGATAGATATTAACGATAATTATAATATTGTATAAATCGTAATTATTATGATAAAGAGATTAATGATCGCGTAAATTTTATAAAATCGATTCATAAGGATCATAATTTTTGAATAATATGAATGGCGCAAGTAAAAAGTTGGAGAACGGGTGAAATTTTCTCATAAATAACGACATTATAATTATCTCGTGTTATTATACGTACGCAGCTTCGGCGTTTTATGTGCAATTGCGTTAAATGAATGACATTTCTCCGTAACCGTGAGTGATTTAGTTGGTGAGAGCTGAAAATTGTCGGGGGGAGACACAGATATCTTCGGGAAAGGGACAGGAATATATCCGAACGAACGCCCACGTTCCTTCTTTCTTCATCGGAATTTCGCAGAACGGCATCGTACATATATATATATATATATATATACACATACACAGGCGCTGCGCGGCGCGGTTACGACTTATCAATTTATTTCTCTCTGGAATCACGAAGGTCGACAGTTTCCCGTTAACGAGGTCCGGTATATCTTCCGCGAACTGCAACAGGATCTTTCCGCCGAAGAATCCATTCGTGCGAATTTCTCTCGCCGGGAGTGGGAGACCGTTCTCGCAATCGGAAAATATCACATTCTCTGAAAATTCGATTTGGTGCGAGAGATACTGCGAGAAAAATCTCAAGTAAATCTGTGTCATTTCACCCGCTCCTCGTTACGGACGTCATCGAGGTATAACGAGAAGCCGAGAAGAATTTCGATGCGAAAGAAATGGATAGCTTAAATTTGTACAAGTTTCGCGAAGACGGAGACGAACTCTGTCGATTTCACGTCTACGTGAATCCCGTCTCTGAAATTTCGAATCTCCTCGCATTTGAGCTCGTTTTATCGCGGCGCAGCGTGAGTTTCGATCGGGTTTGTACGTTCGACGCTCCATTGAGCAAATTAATGAGGGACCGCGCGACATTATTGAGCCACGCAGGCGCGCACGTGTAACGTCGGCGGTACGTAATGTCAAACCGTTGTAATATAGTGATCTGCGAGCTCGCTCGATAAACGCTATTAACATTATACAGATTGCGCAACGTTACATCGAAAGCCGCCTACGATTTGGTTATACGCGAAATAGATTTTAATTTTCAATTGACAGGTCAACTCGAGATTAGACTTTTTGTCCTCGGCGTTTCCTCCGTCATTTTATTTATTATAATCTTTAGACGTGGATATAAATTTAATTCTCGCCTAACTAGAATCCTTTCGATCGCTTCATCTATAATTATCAAGAGCGATCTAAATTTAGAGCTCGTTTGGAGTTTATTTTTACTTTAGCCGGAGTTCTGCCCAGTCGCGTTTTATTACCAACCAGTTTCTCCGTTCTGATCTCGGGGAAACTAGTTCATCCGCGGGAAACTCACGGTGGAGAAACTCCCAAAGGCTGCAGTCATATTCAAGCACTTCGCGGAAAAATCCCGATGTTCCCTTAATAAATAAGGAGGTCGTTAGGCGTCGGAGGACTTAATTTCCGCGAAGCGTATCGCTTCTTCTTGATTAACGTGCGCGCGAGAGGCAAGCCGGCGGAGAGTCGAGGTCGTGTCGAGCTGATTAAGAGAGGAGGGTAGCGCGGCGTTAAACACCGGAATCCCGACACGCGTGCGATGCCCACGCCCACGCCCACGATGCACGGTGCTCGCGTCTACCTGCGCACGCGTATGCCCACGCGATGCTAAGCCCATGCTCGTATATCCACCTCCTGACCGAGGGGTGGCGTCGGTCGTCACGTCGGTGTTAATGAGCGAAGGCACGATCGCGTGACCGACGACCTTTGACGAACCTCGGGACGAGTGGGGGGAGGAGCGGTAGATGCCGGGGTGAATGAGGGATGAACGACTGTGCCGAATCGTTCATCCCTTATTCACCCCAACGATCAAACAACTCGACAATCGGCGACAATCGTCGCGCGTGAAGTTTTCTTTACTGTAGAGAGTTCTCGTGATGCTCTACATCGAGCCGTTAATGTGACTGGTAAAGTTTCATGTTGACGATCTGAAATATCTACGAATTTGAATACGTTTTAAGTCCAGAAAAATTAAAATTGAACATATCTGTGTCTTTTTTTTTTTTTTATGAAAGAATATTGATCGTAAATATTTTGTCTTGCGAAAAGGAGAATATCTGTTATTCTATATATAGTCGTCTATTATTAGTTACGATACAAGTTGGAATTCAGACAAAATAAAGCTAGCGAGACGTGTGCCAAGTTTTCCTCTCTTCCAAGAATTCGTGAATTTTGGAATTAACGTAATTTAAATTCTCCGTTATCGAGTATTGTCGCTCTCTTATTCCATGTCCCTATAGAATCATCCTTATGAAAGATAATGTAAAAAAGTTTTAATGCACGAACTTTTTGGCAAGTTCGGCACGAATCGGAAATGGAAATGCATCCCCGAAACGATATCGATACGCGC